GAGAAGTGTCAATGGTCAATGTCACATTTTGGAAGACCATGTGAAATGGAGGATGGATGGATAGACAGACAGACAGACATACAGATAGATACAGCCATAGTTGGAAAACACAGTCTGCCACAGGATCCATGTGGAAAAGTTCCTCTATGTCCAAATTAAGAGGATACTACTTCACAGCTACTGTATATCAAACATGGAAACAATTTCTCCCTCAGGTCCCCATTGCCAGTCATTCAGCTTCTTTCCTTTAGGAATCAAACGGATGTTAGGAAAGGATGATGCGGGCACTTCCTGGGGAGGAGGCATTCACTTTCCTTTTCCGATCCTACAACAGCTGCTCTGCTCCAGGCTCGGAGGAGGAATTACTGCCTCTGCCCCACGAAGGCCCTCCCACCCTCACGCTCTTCCTCTTCATTAGAAAGGGTGATGCCATGGAAAAAGAGAGTGTCATGATACAGCAGCCTGCCCAGGTTATGCCCAATCTATGTCCATTCTGATGTTAACACCTTTATAAGTAAACCTCAGCTCAAGAAGAGGCTCTCTTGAATTTAACAAAGCAAAAGAAATACTTGTTTCAAATGAGAGGTTAAACTGCATTGTCTTTTTAAAAATTATTTCAGTTTTTCAATATTTTTTCATAGGTTTCTGAGCCAGTCTGGTAAACTAAAACTCTAAAAAATTTTGTGGTTCATACGAACTTTCAAAGTAGCTCTAATTTCCGACAACATCCTTAACCCAAAGAAGTTCAAACTACCATCTTTTCAAATTAGTGATTTAGCTTGGTCACTGGTCCTCTCATTTGAAGGTTCCTGAAAAGTAAACTTGGGAATCAAAATCTTTTTTTTTGCTCCAAACAAATGGGAAACACCTACTGAATCTTAGCTGCCTGAATCTAAATCTATTTCTGAGGACCCAATTCCAAACCGGGTCCAGTTCCAAAACCCAAATTCCAAGTAACTGTTCAAATGTGCTGTGGGTTCAAAGCCAACTGGATGTCAGGGGATCTTACTCATTTCAGATAAAATGGGATCCCTTATACCTAAGAAAATAAGGCTACAAATAAAACTCAAATAGTTCTTATAACATGTTTAACATATAAAGTTAATTATAAATTAAACATAAACGTAAGTGTTCTACTTTCCTATGCCCCCCAAGTACTTTAAGATAAACGAGGGCTTAGAAATTAAACAGTGAGGGTAGGGGAAGAACTTGTTGCTGAGTATACTTAGAGGGAATAAGACTCAAAGCCTCCGCAGAAGACTGATGCACAATTATCTAAGCACAAACAGAAGTCACCTTACCCAAGTCTATTTTCCCCACCAAATGCATCCTATTAATAGGGAAAATGACATTGCACTCTCTCCACTCACATACTCCAGAACTTGTAAATCTTCATCTTTTAAAATAGGGGATGTATCAAGAGACATCGAAGATTTCTGCCTTTTCCCCTAGTCAATGCCAATTTCCAATTAAAATACCGATGAACTAGCAAAAAACCTGCCCCTTCCCCAGAGCAGAGCTGAACTGGAAGAACTGAAGAGTGCGTCTCATCTACGGGACAGCTTTACAGGGTGGGCACCTAGTCACATGGATTCTACCTCTGGAGCCCTCTGGAGTATCCCAAGTGAAAGGGACACGATGATGTGAGAATCTCTCCTCCCCACACCACTGGGACACTACCTAACATTAAAAAATAAGACATAGGAACTGGATATTCTTGGTATGAACAGCAGCTACTTAGTTTATGCAATTCAGCTGAGCTGAAATACATATGTAGTCATTTCACCTCTCTGGTTCCATAAGCATTCAATTTATATATTCCTGCGGACAGATTTTTTTTAAACTATGATTAAATGTAATTTTCTTGCTGTTCCAATGTTTTATATTAGATCCAGGTATCAATTAGGAATGGCATGTTATTAGCAAAACAGGCTGATTTAAAGTGGCTTAAATAATGTGCTTAATTTCTCTTTCATGTAAATTAAGTCTAGAAGCTGGAAGTTCAGACTGAGCAGCTTGTTTTCACTTGCGACCTGAGCGCCACTATCTTTAGTTTATGTTTTCTTTCTTCACAGTCTTCATGATCCAAGAAGACTGCTTATGTATCACTCTTACTAGTTTGTAACTTTCTCCAGGGAAAGGATCATTTCTTATTCCTTTTTTAGTTGCAGTACTTAGCACATATTGGCTCTGAGCAGTATTTGTTTAATGAATAAACGAATAGGATAAAGAACGAATAAATGAGTGAAAACAAATGGCAGCATGAGTCTAGTGAGGGTAGATTTAAATGTACAGTCAACTGCACAAGGCAGCAGTGCTTCATTAATGGAAGTATGTATTATATTCACCAGGGAAAATCTTATGGGGAGAAATAATATTTAAACTAGATATTTAGCACTGGGCAGGATTTGAGTAGAAAATAAAGTTGTTTCTTGGTGCTAGGAACACAGAATTTGGAGTCAAAAGACTGCCTTGTAGCCCTAACTCAACCACTTACCAGATAATATAATTTTTGGCAAAGTAAGGTAAACTCTCTGAGCCTATAGCCTCATCTATAAAACAGAGATAATCGTAATTGACTACCTTGTAGATTTTTGTGAGGTTTTCCTTATTCTTTCAACTCTTCTTTTAAGTGTGTGCCATCTCATTTTGTTCCATGTTTCTTATAAATTCTTCTATAAATCTGTACATTCTTAGGAATTTGTGATAATTAATTTTATGTGCCAACTTAACAGGGCCAAGGCCCAGATTACACATTCCTCTGGGTATGCCAGTGAGGGTGTTTCTGAATGAGAGTAGCATGTGAATCAGTGGACTCAGTGAAGTAGATTGCCCTTCCCAATATGGGCAGGTATCAGATGAGGGCCTGAATAGCACAAAATGCATAGAAAAGAAGGATTTGTCTTCTTCCTGGCTGCCTGTTGAGCTGAGGCATCGATCTTTTCCCGCCCTCCCACTGACTGGGATTTACACCACTGCCACCCCCCTACCCGCCTAGTTCTCAGGCCCTCAGACTTGAACTAAAATTACACCACGAGCATTCCTGGGTCTCCAGCTTGAAAACTAACAGATTGTAAGATTCTTCAGATCTATGATCATATGAGATAGATAGATAAAGATAGATAGATAGAAATATGTATTTTCCCCCTAGGGCATATCCAATATCCTACTGGTTCTATATATCATATATAGAATATATATACATTATATTACATATTGATTCTGTTTCTCTGAAGAACCCTGACTAATACATTTGTCATTAAAAATTTTTAATTTTCTTATCACCAAATAAATCAAAATTTCCTTCAGTCCCAAGGTTCTGCTCAGTGTCTATTAAATATTTTATTTTTTTACTTGTTCGTTCAATTAATTTATTTATTTCCAGGCAGTATGCCAGTCCCTGAGGAATCCATACTAAACTAGCAGATGACGTGAAGCTTTTAGGCAGGGGGATTATGGGGTCCAAGTCTGAGGAGTTAATATTTGAGATGTGAAGAAGCCATGACCTAGCCATATGCAGAGCTGGCATTAGATCTAAGGAATAAAAATACTCCAGGCAGAGGGAATAACAAATGAAATGTCTGAGAAATAGAGAGCTAGCTGTTATAATAATTAAATTCCCAAATCTCAGTGACTTAACAGAGTAAACATTTCTTATCAATTTACTTAAAGTATAATGGCTGAGGTTTTCACCCACATCAGCACCCAGCTAACAGATGAAGAAAGAAAGAAAAGTATTGTGTCTGGGGATCCAGGAGTATAAGTGATAACCTGTCACTTCTGATCTCACTTCACTGGCAGGACTCAAGTCAATGGCCACACCTAATAGCAAGGGGTGATAAGAAAACATTATGTTAGGATCTCATTCTAATTAAGAGCTCAGAGGAGTGACTTGCTGAAGAACTGGCCAGTCTTTGACACAGGAGGACAGTGTGGCTAGAGGTTAACTGATGAGAGGACAGGGGAGGAGGAGGAGGAGATGGAAGAGGAAAGAGAGGGAAGAAGGGAGGGAAGGAGGAAAACAAATAGAACAATCTGACACTGAGACATTTTTCAGAAGTAAAATCAGGTAAGGCCTTTTAGGACCTGGGAAGAAGTTCTAATTTTAATCAAAGAGCAGTGGAATTCCACTGAAAGTTTCAAACATAAAAGTGACACGATCAGTTTTATCTTTTTTAAAAGACCTCTCTTCTGTGGGAAGAATGAATTTGAGAGGGCAACAGTAAAGTGGCTATTGGAGAAGCTTAGATGGAGAATGATTGTGGTTGCTGAAGGATACTGACACCAGACATGGAGAGGAGTGGTTGCATCTGAGATATATTTTGGAGGTAAAGCCAACAGAATATAGGTGATTGGTAACCATTTCGAGAATGAACCAATGAACGAACGATGATGCCTAACACTTACTGAGCACATACCATGTCAGACTCTGTGCTAAGAGCTTTTATAGAGATTATGATGTTTAACCCATACAGCAATCTTATGAAGTTAGTATTGTTATATCCATTTTTCAGATGAGGAAGTTGAGGCTCAGAGAGTTTAAATCATTTGCTCATGTTTATACATGCCAGGATTAGAAGACAGATATTCTGACTTCCTAGCTCCTACCCTACTGGCCTAACCTACCCACAATTTTCTCTTAAAGGTAGCAAGCCTATTATTGATAATCTTCAATGACCCCACATTCCCAGACCACTGTCCCTCTGAGCCCCAGACACGGAAAATTTCCAGAAAGCATAGCCAGATTCTACAGGTAAACTCCAAGATGCTGGAGGTATTTATGGTGCCCCATCTTTTGGGGAGTTCACATCTTGTTTCTGAAATCCCTGCCTTTGGTAACTCCTGTTAGAGCCAGTTGTAATGTGCTTGTAAGATCAATTGCTCAGAGGAGAGTCTGTTCTGAATTATAAAATTGTTGATGCTAAGGAGCCCCTGGGGGATGGGGCACTGGGGGAGGGGGACTGCACATGGGTTCAGTGTGGCAGGCTCCTATGCCGATAATGGATGGGGAAACGTGGCCAGCTAGGCCCACAGAAAGAAAAACACTTAAGCCTCTTGATGAAAGGCCAGATGAGAAGGTAAGTGTTATAATTCAACTGAAAATAAAAGCCAGCGGCAGGTTATCCTTCCTTCCAGGCAGACGGTTTACGGGACTGCTTTCCTGCAGCTACGGTGGCAGTGATGGATTATCTGGGAAGGTGAAGCAGCTGAGCTGATCCACCCCCTCCTCCTCCACCCTCAAATCCCCCTCAGGCTACAGGGTTTCAGGGCAGCTTTAATCCCTCTTAGCCTCCACTCTCCCACGGATCTCAAGACAAGTCCCAGGAGTTGCAGGGCCTGGAGAGCATCCTCCCAAGCTGTTTCCTGAAATCCAAGCCTGAAAGACAGGAGTTGGCCTTCAGGTGCTCGCCAGAAGCCTCCATTCATTACCCTGCTGGGAAGGATCGTTTGAGTCTGGCCTCAGAGGGGGAGTGTTGGCTGTTCAAGAGTGGCTCCTTCAAGGTATGTCTGGAGAGAGCTGTTCATTTCAGGAGGCCCTCAGCAAGCCTTAATGGAGGATACAGAGGGGTTGACTGGGGTGGCGATGGAGGAGTGTGTCCTCTGTCCTGGTCACTGTCTTTCTTCACTCTTTAATGAAAAAGACTTTGCTTTCTGCTTTTTCTGCCCCAATCCTGATTCCTATCACAATCGGCTTGAGTTGCCAGCTCTTTTAAAGTTGTGTATTTTATTTATATTAGGTACTTTCTGAATTCATCAGAATATTCCAAGAACTGTATATATGTCTCTACTTTTAAATTCTAAGGTTTGGGGGGCAAGGGTATATAGCTCAGTGGTAGACCCCATGCTTAGCATGCAGGTGGTCCTAGGTTCAATCTCCAGTACCTCCATTAAAAAAAAATTTTTTTTAATTCTAAGGTTTTTAGAGAAATATTTTTGGATAAAAAGGTCATTTTGGAGTCTCTCAAGTCTCTGTATCATACTTCCTTTTCAAAGTCTGGCCAGCTCTAGACTTAAGGCAAATAGAGATATCAGAAGAACAGACAAGCATTATCTGTCTTTTTCTATGCTTTGTACCCTCTGAAGATCTTGCTTTCAATACTTGTTACAGCAAGTAACACACAAAAATGTGGGAGAAAGCAGAGGGTACAAGACCTTGGGACCAATTTGTATAGGGATGATAAACCTGTTTCAGGAGAAGATAATTCTCCACGAAGAAACAGTCCATCTTGTAGTCCCAGTCACATATACTTTGCAGGGAGTCCCTTTCAGACCATTCCATGAAAACTTACCATTTTATACCACATCAATTTCATGCAACTTGGAATAAGAAATCCTAGCCACACCGTTATAATTGTTATGTACTCTAAGGAGCATGTGAGTTTGATAAAATGGTACGGGTTTTAGAGTAGGACAAACCTGGGTTCCAGTTATACCATTTGTAAGTAGGGTCTTAAACAATTTTAATTTTTTCAGCTATAAAATGAAGGTAATCCCTAGAAAAGCACTGTGGGAGTTCAATGAGATATGTAAGTCCCTGGACAATAATGAAGTGTGTCCTTTTTCTATGAAAGCAAATTTGAATTAAACTAGAAAGGAAATTGAGGTTTTCCTTTTTTCTGTAAATCTCTGCAGTATACTTCCTGGAAAGCAAAATAAAAGGATGGCTGTTTTTCTTCCTAGTTAGAATAGCAATGTGATCTTTTGTGTGTAAATAACGTGGCATGCTTTCCAAGGATATTCACAGTCTGTTTGTATCACATTCTGTCTTCAGAGCCATTCCACAGATACCCAACGCTTCAACCCTAGGTTAACAGCAGGATAACTGTGTTTTTAACAGAAAAGAAGCACAGATTTTATGATGGGTGATTTAGAAATAACGGGGAAGCAAGAAGAGGAGAGGGGTGCAGATTCTACTTCTGATCATCAAGACCTTGTATTCCATTTGAGGACACAAGGCCAATTCAGGCAAGAGGCAAGAAACAATGCTTGTCAGGGCATGGTTAAGAGCAAAATAAGTGAAACCCCCAACTGCCCCAGTTCTTTTGAGAAGAGTGAGAAGAGTGCACTGGAGTAGCCTGAGAAGGTCCTGTGACGTGGAAGCTAGGCACTGGGGGGAAGAGTACATAGAAAAAATGAGTAAGAGTGATGTATTTGTGGCCACAGCCAAAGCCAGAGGTTCTCAACCTTGCCTGAACATTAGAATCACCTGGGGAGATCTTTTTAGCATTCTGATACCTGGTCCCCACCTCCAGAAATTCTGCTTTAATTGTGCTGGGATGGGACCAGGCATCAGAATTTTGTGAAATTTTCCCTAGTGATTCTAATGTGCAACAAAGGTATTATATTGTACTATACTGTAGATTTATCCACTTCTACAGAATCAGATACATGAATCTCATGATAAAATAAGATGTTGTATTTATGAGAGTCGGTGTAGAAGTTCAGTTTTTTCCGGGGTTTTCTGTACGTTTTCCTGAACAAAGAGGCTGATTATTTATTATAAATATGTCCTGAAAATGTGCCATCTTATCCTAATTTAATTCCTGCTTCATCATGAGCTTGTTATTTAAACATATTTTGGTAAGTGTGTGTTGTCATACTAATCAGCTATTCGGCTTTAGTGCAAAGTCTGGGCTTCAGTTTCTTCATCTATAACACGGAGGAGATGGTCTAACTCAGAGGCCCTCAAACTGGGTTCCACAGAGGACCCTAGACTTGAGTTCCTTGGTCTAATTTGAGGGGAAAGGCCCCATACCAGGCTTCAACCAGAGAAGCTCACTTCCATCTATTTGTATCTATTATACAACTGGCTTCTAATAATAGTTCATTTGAAAAAAGGGATGAGGCTGGATGTCAGTAAAATGGCAGAATAGGCAGCTTCAAACACCTGCCCCAGAAGAGTGCTATTCAGAATGGTCAAAAATCAGAAGTAGCTCCAGTGTCCATCAGTGGATGAATGGATAAACAAACTGTAGTGTATGCAGACAATGGAGTGTTATTCATCCATAAAAAGGAAATGCTGATATATACCACAGTATGGATGGACCTCCAAAACATTACACTAAGTGAAAGAAGCCAGACACAAAAGGCCATATGTTATACAATTCCACTTACATGAAAGATCCAGAATAGATAAATCCACAGAGATGGAACACAGATTGTTGGTTTCCACAGGCTAGGGGAGGGAGGAATAGGGAGGAACTGCTTAATGTGTAGGGGGGTTTTACTCTGAAGTGTTCTGGAACTAACTAGATTGAAGTGGCGGTTGCCCCAAATTATGGATGGACCAAATGCTGCTGAATTGCTTGTTTTAAAATGGGTCATGTTACGTTTTTTTAAAAAAGGAATGAGAACTTTTGGGTTAGATGATTGTTGAGGTCCCTTTCAGCTCTAAAATCGTACAGTTAGGACTGTATGAAATAAATATATTTTGAAAACTATCACAAGTACCAAGGAAAGAAGGTGCCCTGTGAGTTCAAATGAAGAGTTAGGGGCATGAGGAAGAACTTCACGAAGGAGATGCAAGACACGTCCTGGAGATGAGGAAGTCTGCGCGGAGACAGCAGGAGGGCATCCATGCACAGGCGTGGAGATGAGAACGCACAGAGGAGCAGCGGGCAGAAGGGCTGCGTTCAGGCAGCGGACAGGGATCTAAGCCTGGAAATGTGGGTCTGAGCCATGCTGAGGCCGACCCTCAGTGCCAGGATAAAAGTGTTGAAACTTCATTTGGACTCAAACAGATTATCTGTAAAAAATTTTGGTGTAAACAAGCTATAGAACTGGAATTCTTGACCCTGGCTGCCCAGGCCTCAGCATGTAAGGGGAAAGCTGTCTGAGAGGCAGCACGTGGAGTGGGGTAAAGGGGGAGGACCCTGGAGCCAGACTGCCTGAAGGTGAATCCCCGGGCTGCCACTCCCCAGTCAGGTGAACCTGGGCAAGCTACTTAACCTCTTCATGCCTCAGTGTCACCATCTGTAAAATGGAAACAGTGCCCACCTAAAAGGATTGTAGTGAGGATTAAATTAATAAATACAAGTAAAGTGCGTAGAATGACATACAGAGCAGAGTAAATGCTCAATAAATGATCGCTTCTATTGTTCCAGGAATGAAGGATATACGTGTTCAGGAAATAACGGGGTTAGTGGTGAGAATCAGACATGCTTGCCTGCTGTTCTGTGTTGTGAGTAAAGAAATACTTTGTGTGAATTCAGTGTTATTCTGTACTTGGAAGACTGCAATGTTTTATGTAATGTTTAAGCTAGAGTAAACATTGGACAAAGAAGTCTTGGAAATGTACTGGGGCATGGGTTAGATACCATTAACTGGTAATGAGCAATGGACGAATAATATTAGGATGATGGCTTTTGAAAATTTCTTCCGATGACCCTGGGGGTTTTTCACAAGCCCAGAGTATATGGTAGTAAGTCTGGCTACAGGGAAGTCGTTACTTTGGAATGGACACATAGCTGAAAAAAACTGGAGGAAAACCACACAGGGTGGAGCAAGGTCTGGCAAGAAGAGACTGCACTAGTTGAGGGCAACTGTTTTTATCAGTAAGACCGGCACAGTATTTGTGTGAAAATAGAGTTGAAAGTGAAGTCAACTTCTGAATTCAGAAGGGAGGCAACTCTAGTGGCTGCACAGAGGAGGCACTAACTGCTGATTTTACCAGCACACGGTTCTTCAATAAATTAACCCCAAAGTGGGAATTCAAGCATTTTGTACCAGTCAATAAATCTACTGCATATCTATAACGTACATGTGATGTGTAGTTCCCAGGTATATATTGATGAAAAAGGCAAACAATCCCTGACTGTCACAGTCTAGCAGAAGAGAACAAATTAAGCCAAAGTGTACAAAACTAAATCCCAGAACATCCCTCTGGGCTTCTAGGTTTCTTTTTGTAGTAAATTCTATAAGCTAAAACTCATCCTTAACAACTTTTTCTCATTATCCCTACATTCAACTCATCATCATGTCTAGTGCATTCTGCCTCTTAAATACCTTTTAAATCCAGCCACTGTTTTTCATCTCCGAGGTCCCAGTCTGTTTTGATCCACCATCCTCTGCAGCACAGCAGAAGCCTCCCAACTGGTTATCTCACAGCCACTCTGTCCTCCCCCTAATCCCTTCTTGACTTAGAAGAGCATTCAAGATAAAGTGAAAAATCCTTCACATGGCCTGCAGATCTTTTTGTGATACACTGACTATGTATGTCTCTATCCTCATCACTTTCTTGCCACATGGGCTTCTTCATTTCCTCAAACTTGGCATGTGCCCACCTGCCACAGGCTTTATCTGTGCTGTTCCCGCCTGACCTTCTCATCGCTTAGTTAACTCCTGTTCATCCTTAGGATCTCAGCTCAAGCATCACTTCCATGGAGACATCTTTCCTCATTCATTGGTCAGATCAGATCTCCTGGTTAATTACTTCTTTCAGCACTATGCATTCTGTCTTCATACACTCATGTAATTAGTAATTATAAATTGGTTTGTGTGATTATTTGATTTTAAGTTCTGTCTCTCCCCATAGACTGAGCACCATGAGGAGATTCCTGTCTGGTTTTGTTCATCATTGTTTCTGCAGTGTTGAGCACAGCACCTAACCACATATTTACCGAATGGTTGACTGAGAGAAAGAATGAGTGAATTACCAATAAACTATTGCAAGTGCTCTGTGGCCTTACAACAAGCTGAGCCATTAGGGAAGGTAGGATAACCCAGTAGATACAGAGAGAATGAAGAGGAATTAGACAGGTGAAGAGAACAGAGACGCACACTCCAAGCAGAGGGAACAGCATGGAGATGAGAGTGAGCACAAAACAGTCCTGGACTCAGACATGTCCAGTATGGCTGGAGAGGAGAGCAGCGGAGGCCAGGGCTCGCTAGTGGTGGAGAGGTTAACAGAAACCAAAGAAACATGTAGAGCCTTTATTTCTATTGCACTTTATTTCTATGGGCAGTGAAAAGCCATTAAAATTTTTTTAAGTTAAATGCCATGCTTGGTGTATAAAACTCTCAGGTTACTATGTAAGATTACTGAGGCTCAAATAAGAAGAATGAAAGAAAACATAAGAAAGGGAAGTTGTTTTGGAGGCTGTGGCTGTGGCTTGGATAAGAGGCTGTGACAGCCTGGATGAGGATAAAGTTAGAGCTGGAAAGAAGTGGAGGGAAGAACATTTAGAAGGTGGGCTGATTTGAGAAAATACTCATGAAGGTATGGAGGGTGGATGGGAAGGAAACTGAAATAAACTTCTCTAAACTGTTAATAATAGTTACCATTAGCAGATGCAAAGGCAGTACCAAAGAGTGGCTTTGCAGACTCCTGGCCCCTGCTCCATAATTGTCTTTTACCCCAAATAACCACTAGACAAAAAGAGTGTGCTACTTACAGTGCATTTGTAACCTCAAGATAAGACGTGCAGCCATTCCTATCAACCCCTAAGTTCTTCCTATACAAACTTGGCCCCAAGAAGCCATCATATGTGCTGCTATTACCTTTAAACCAATATTTTAAAATATCATTTAATGAGTATTTTCATATTTCACTTGACTTAATAATCACACCTTTAAAGCTTCCCAATCTTTCTAGGTAAAAAATGAAGTATTAAAAAAAAAAACCCTGCCCCAAATTAGAGCATTCAAAATGGCTGAGCCAGGGTTCAAACCCAGATGGGGTTGCTTGCAAAGCCCAGACTTCTCATCATAACCCCCCCAGGTCCTTTCCTCCACCATGTGGCAAACTGACATGCTGGGCAGCTTCTCCTTCAAGTGGTTTGGAGCCCAGGCCTGAACTCTAATGGGGCATTAGCATTTCTCTTTGCATTCATCCCCAGACATCCTTTCAGTCTGGCTCATTCTGACACCATATTTCCTATAGCAAAGGAAATGCTGCGGAGTATGGGAGCTTTCAGATGTGGACTTGATTGAAATGGGTGAAGTTTGTTTTCTTTTATGTTCTGTTTCTCTGATGCCTTCATAAGCTAGTGGATCCAGATGGCTGGAATCCCCAATTAAAAACAAAGAGAACACTAGGGAAGGAGCAAAGGGGAGAGAGAGAGATACCAAGTGGTAATTAGGGATGAGACAGCTGAAATGGCTTCATGATGGTAAAGAGTCATTCCAGAAGAATGCGTGTGCAAATTAGAGTCTTTTTCTCCTTCTGCCCTGTAAAGGCAATTTAACATTAATAAATTGCCACCAGAATTCTTTATTTCTGTAAGAAAACGTGTGCTGCTGGATGTTTCCACAGTAATCAGCGCATGTCATTTAAATTACAGATTGGCTGATGTAAAAAGGTTGAAAAGGCAGGAGGAACAGAGCCTGCCTGCAAACCCATGGTCAGGCAGCCTGTGTGGCGAGCCTAGAGCTTGCTGCCTGGAGCACAGGTCTTTTCGAGCTCAGCCTGCTTCACCCAAGGAAATTCGCAGAGGAAGGCTTAGCATTTGGAAACATTCCGATTGCCCAGCTTCTTATTTGGCAATGCTTATTTCAGTTAAAACTTCTCTCAACTTCTGGTTAGAAACAGAAGTGAGAGAGGCAGAGTGAGGGCGTGGCAGGGTGGGGGGCAGGTGAAAAAGCCAGAAGAAAAAGAGGAAGGAGGGAAATAAGGAGGTAGGGGAGAAAAAAGGTAAAGGTGGGGGGAGGAAGAGGTCAGGAGAGAGGGAGAAGCGAAAAGGAGAGACAAAGGCCTTATATAGGGAAAGATAGGGAGAGAATTCCAAGCCACTTCAGAAAGAAATAGTTATACTATTTTCAGATACTTGAAATATTGCAAAATAGACTGAATAACTGGTCCTGTGTACTAGGTTCACTAGAAGCAAATTTAGGGACAACTCTAAAATGATTTGTAATTAGTTTTACACTTACTGATATCTAACAGAGAACTTTGAATATGTTTGAAAGCAGGTTTACTCAAGTTTATAGAATCAATGTTTTTGTTTTTTGGGGTTTTTTTCATAGATGAACTTAGGTAAACTTCGGTTAAGCCACTCTCCAAATTATTACAAATTCCAACTAATGAAATCCAAATGATTTGAGCTCTGGCTGTATTCTTCATTCTCAGAATAGGTATATTTCCTCCTGTGGTTTTACTGAATGAGGTTGAAACAAAACATGGAAGAGTGATGGAAAATGAGTGAAGCCTCGCCTTCCTTCGAGCTCGTTCTACATCCAATCTTGTGCTTCCCCCTCAATGTCTTTCCACAGGAATTTGGCTGCCAGATGTCACCCAAGAAACTACTGAGGACTAAGCTGCCCACTGTCTCTCCACCAGAAGGTGAGCTCTTGAAAGCAAGGATTCTGTCTGTCTTGGTCACGCCAGGCCTAGTACATCTCAGGGCATGACTGCCATTTGTTGTTGAACACAGTTGAGGTATCTGCATCCTAGGCTGACTTTACCACAGCAGCAAGTCATAGGCACTGCACCCTCTTTACATCTAGATTTCTTAGCGTTGACATCCTTTAACTGACTGTGGAATGAACTGCATTTAGGGTTACAGCAGTACGTCTCTACTGCTCTGATCTGGTTCATACCCTGGCACCTGCTACTTACTACACCTGTCCTGGTCTTGGCTCCATTTCATGAAACTGTATTCATGATTGTGTATGTATTCAAGGTGTTCCTGCTAAGTTCTTGATAATTAGTCATGACACCTCCTCTAGCTGAGCTGCCACAGAAGGAGCCAAATATTAGAGGCAACTGGACATCATGTAAACAGAACAGACTTCACATCTGATCTAACCTGCTGCTCCTCAAACCTTAGTGCACATAAGGATCTCCGGGGTCCTATGAACAATTATATGCCAACAAATTAGATAACCAAGAAGAAATGGATAAATTCCTAAAAATGTGTAACATACCAAGACTGAACCATGAAGAAACAGAAAACCTGAATAGACCAATTAGTAATAAGGAGATTGAATCAGTGATTAAAAACCTCCCAATAAAGAAAAATCTAGGATCAGATGACTTTGCTGGTGGAGTCTAAAAAATATTTAAAGAAAAATTAAAACCAGTCCTTCCAAACTTTTCTGAAAAACAGAAGAGGATGGAATACTTCCAAACTAATTTTATGAGGCCAGCATTATCTGGATACAGACAAGGATACTATAAGAAAAGAAAATTATAGACCAATATCCCTACTCAATATAGATGTACAACTCCTCAGCAAAATAACAGTAAACTAAATTCAATAGCACATGAAAAGGATCATATACTATGACCAAGTGGGATTTATTCCTAGGATACAAGGGTGGTTTGGCAACCACAAATCAAAAAGCGTGATAACCACATTAACAAAATGAAGGATAAAAATAATATGATCATCTCAATATATGCAGAAAATGTATTTGACAAAATTAATATCCTTTCATAATAAAACTCTTAACAAAATTAGGTAGAAATGGAATGTACTCCCCAACAGAATAAAAGCCATATATTACAATCTCACAGCTGAAATCATATTCCTCTAAGGGACAAGATAAGGATACCCACTCTTGCCACTTTTATTCAATAGTACCAGAAGTCCCATCCAGAGCAATTAGGCAAAAAAAAAAAAAAAAAAAAAGACACCCAAATTAGAAAGGAAGAAGTAAATTGTCACTGTTTGCAGGTGGCATTATATTATATATAAAAAACCCTAAGGCCACCAAAAATCTCCTAGAACTAATAAATGAATTCAGTAAAATTAGAGGATACAAAATCAATATAAAGTATCAGTTGTTTATATCCACTACAAATTATCAGAAAGAGAAATTTAAAAAAAAAACAGTCTCAATTGCAGTAGCATCAAAAAGAATACTTAGGAATAAATTTAATTGAGGGGGTGAAATGTTTGTACACTGAAAACCATAAAACATTGATGAAAGAAACTGAAGACAACATAAGAAAAATGGGAATACAGTCCATGTTCATAGACTGGAAGAATTAACATTGTTCAAATGTCCATTCTACCCAAAATGATCTACAGATTCAACATAATCCTTATAAAAAAATCCAGTGGCATTCTTTTTTTTACAGAAATAGGAAAAAACCCTAAAATTTGTGTGAAACCATAAAAAGATCCCAAATAGCCAAAGCAATCCTGAAAGAAAAGAACAAAGCTGCAGGCATCAAACTTCCTGATTTCAAATTATATTACAAAACTATAATATTCAAAACAGTATGGTATTAGCATAAAAACAGATATAAAGATCAATGAAATAGAGTAGAAAACCCACAAGTAAATCCGTGGCTATGTGATACATTAATTTCAATGAAGGAGCCAACATACAACAGGGGAAGGATAGTCTCTTCAATAAGTGGTTGCGGGAAAATTATTCACATGCAAAAGAATGAAAGTGGATCCTGATCTTACACCACTTACACAAGTCAACTCAAATGGATACTTGAATTTAAGACCTGAAACCATAAAACTCCTAGAAGAAAGCATAAGCAATAATCTCTTTGTCAGTGGTCTTAGCAATATTTGGCGGAGGAGGGGTTGACACCAAAAGCAAAGGCAAGTAAAGCAAAAATAAATAAGCTGGACTACAGCAAACTAAAAAGCTTCTGCACATCCAAGAAACAGTGAACAAAATGAAAAGGCAACCTATGAAATAAAATATTTGCAAATCATCTATCCAGTAAGGGTTTAATACCACAAATATACAAGAAACCCACACAACTTAATAGCAAAAAAGCTAACAACCTGATTTTTTAAAAGGGGCAACAAACCTGAATAGACATTTTTTCAAAGATGACATACAAATGGTCAACAGGTACAAGAAAAGATGCTCAACATCATTATCAGAGAAATGCAAACCAAAACCACAGTGAGATACCACTTCACATTTGTTAAAATAGCTATTATCAAAAAGACAAAAGATAAATAATGGCAAGCATGTGGAGAAAAGGAAACCTTGTACACTACTGTTGAGAATGTAAACTGGTAAAGCCACCGTGGAGAAACAGAATGGAGGTTACTCAAGAAATTAAAAATAGAACTATCACATGGTTCAGCAGTCCCACTTCTGGAAATGAAACCATTATCTCAAAGAGATATCTGCACCCCCATGTTCACTGCAGCATTATTCACAATTGCCAAAATGTGGAAACAACCTAAGTGCCTGTCAGTGGATGAATGGATAAAGATGTGGTATATAGATACAATAGAATTTTCAGCCTTTAAAAGAGGGGAAATCCTGTCGTTTGAGACAACATGGATGAACCTAGCCTTATGCTAAATGAAATAAGCCAGGCAGAGAAAGACAAATACTGCATGGTTTCACGTATGTGTGAAATTTTTATTTTTAAAAAATAGAAACAGAAAGTAGAATGGGTGAGAGTTGTCAGGACCTGGGGGGTAAGGGAAGAGGGAGAGGTTGGTAAAAGGGTACAAGCCTTCAGTTAGAAGATGAATAAAGTCTTAAGATCCAATATATAAAATGGTGACTTTTCTGAAGATCCAATGTATAAAATAGTTGTTAATACTGTGTTGTATAATTGAAACTTGCTAAGAGGGTAACTTGTGTTCTCACACACACACACACACACACAGAAAAAGAATAAATAAAAAAGATAATTAAGGTCATTGATATGTTAACTCAATGGGAGGGACTGAACAAATCATCATGTTGTACATAAATTCATGTTCATATATATGTATATCTATATAAACTGTTTAAATATATTATAATTTTATTTATCAATTATATCTCAATAAAACCAAAAAAGAAAAAAAAAGAATTGTCTGGGGATTAACTCCTTGGCTTCACCTCCAGGGCATCTGATTCACTATTTGGAGGATGGGCGGAGGGGAGTCCCTGAGAATTTGCATTTTAGTAAGTGATGCTGATCAGGGGGTCCTAAACCATCTTTGAGAACTACCCAGACTGAACTTTTACAGTGTTCAGCCTCATTCTCCTCGAGTATTGTACACTCCTAGTTTTCTGCAGACTGCCTACTTAAGCTATTTACTGCCTGAATTCTTCTGGGTTTCATTTTATTTAGCTCGTCACATGCCTTAGAAATTAGGTCTGGCTGAAGTGAGTGAGGCTAGAAGCAGGAGAAAATGTTAACCAGAAAGAAAATCAGAAGACACAAGGTTACTTTACCAAGGTACTCCTTTATATATTTTTTCATGGTAAAAATTCTTTTAATTTGAATATATGAAACCAACAAACAGAAGGCTTTCTTAAGATCCAATTACTTTTCAAACTCCATTCATTCATGTGTTTTGAATTGAGAATACTGGAGCTGTAACAGTGGTGTCAGCAAAGCCACTAGACTATTTAGTCATTGTCTGGATTCTTCTGATTTAGGGAGTCCCAGCCTACTTTCAGAGTAATATGGGTTTTCAATCATTCCCAGAAATGTCATGAAGTTCTTAAAACCAGTTTAATTTCAGTTTAACTTTATTTAAATAGAGCTATTTCTATTTAATGTATTTAAATGTAATAACATTTATGATGCAATAAAAATGAGTTATGAAATAATTTTAGTATGATTCTTTTCTGTAAAAATAGTTGATATATATCTTTAAATTTTTACTTAGAAAGACGTCTAAAAGTCTAAAAAGATTTTCACCAAAATGTCAACAAATTCCCCCCAAATAGTAAAAATCTAGATGAGTTCAAATTTTTCATTTTTCCTATCCAGTGTTGCTTTTCTGATTTTTTCTGAATTAACATATAACAATAAATATGTAACATATAGGGAACATCAATTCTGAACTACAAATCGAAAACAGTTGGAAATCACTGCTTCAGTTCTCACCTCATAATGTCCCTCCATTTTCAAAAACATCTCTTCTCTTAGTTTTTTCCTCCAGAGTTTTTCCTCAGAGTATTATAAAAACTGCCTCAGTATAAGTCAGTAAAACAAAGCAGAAAGGAAATGGCTAGTTTTTTCATATAAAAGTTACTTTTTATTTATTTCAATCTCTCAAACCACACTGAAGGGCAAGGGACAAATTGAGGGACATATTTGTGATGTACAAAACAGGGCTAGTTCTTTAGATAAAGACTCTGTAAAAATCACTGAAAAAAACATTAAGCCATCTAATAGAAATTAGGGGAATGCTACGCTGCTGTCACAAAAGCTCAACAGTGAAGTGGTTTCAGTAAGACAGAATTGTATTTATCCCTCATGTAAGAACAGAGGGTAGCGGGTCAGCTCTGCTCCATGGCAACAGTGAGGTTTCTGCTATCTTATTGGCCAGTCTCCTCCAGACATTGTCATTGTCTTCCCCTGCTTAGTGTTAAAATTCCTTACTCTTTGATTCAGCAATTTCACCT